TCTCGAAACTGGCAACTCTTAATGAAGAGAAACCCGGTTTATTCCATCCCTGAGAAAGGGCAGAATTCCTCTGCTGCCAAGCTGGCTGCGCATGCAGCACAATGTCCCATTAGTCACAGTATTTGCTGTCCTTGCCTACTCAGACAATGCCTTCAGGAATTGTGAGGTTGGGAGAACTGGATTTGGGGTGGTAGATGGAATAACAAAAGGAGACAGAGCATAGAAATCTTTTGAAAAACAAACTTTGTTGATTCTGTGAACCAGCCTGTTGAGTACACATAGTAGCAAGAGCTGGGGTATTTTCTCCATCAAGATTTTGCAGCTASAAATCCCATTCTGATGCTCTCTGACTCCTCTGTCCAGTTAAGGCTCTAGTAACCAGCTGCACTTCAACATGTTGTTTCTGTTAAAAGTGTGATTTTAATGCAATGAAGTAAGTTGTCATTTGCTGCAAAAGGTTAGTAGAAAAAAGGTGATACTTATATATTAGGTCAGAATCTGTACTACATACGCTTGATCTAACCTTATCACTCTTACCTTGCAGTAAAATGACATTTTTTAAGATTTATAGGACTTTGTTTATCTTCTGAAAAAGTTGACCTTTTTCAGAAGCACAGATGATGATAAATTAGGTCAGCTGATTAGGGCAAAAGGACAAATACAAGTGAAGAACAAATACAAGTGAATTTATGCTTAAGTCTCAGAGATAATTTTTTCAGACAGAATTTTACATGTTTTTTTAGAAAAAAAAATTCAAATTTCTGTTTCTCTACCTCTATTCCAAAATTAATGGTTTGAAATGTGTGTTTGATTATTTTGTTAGTAAAAATAGTCTTTGTTGCATTATTTTTATTTCAGAGACAAACACAAAGACATGTAACTTAAAATATGCCTTCCTAAAAGTAATTTAAAATGCATAAAATAAAATGGCTGAAAAAAGTTTTGCAACCTTTGTTAYAGCCAAGGTTAATACTTACTGAAAAGCATAGGTTGTTAACGAATGTATGTGATCATTATAAAATAAGCATTGCAACTCATTTAAAATTAGTATCAGTGCTTTAAAATAGCTAAAATAACAAATTATGTTAGAAGAAAAACCACTGCTTCCTCTTTTTGAGACAGAGTTTAGTAAAAGTGGGAGGAAAGAAGTCTTGAATATATTATTATTTTGCTTTTATAGTGAAAACTRTTGTTTTGTTTAAGCTACAACAAGGCTGAAACAACAGGAGTGGTGTGAATTCAACTCTYCAGTCATGATCATCATATTTGCTTTTACTTTTTAAACTTTCTTATCACCACCTTACTACCCCAATTAATTGCTTCATTGCTTTGCAAGTGGACTACTGGACTGAGCTCCTTATTCCAAACATCCTACTTCAACAAATAAAATCCTTAAAAATTCTCTCAGTTTATAGCATGGGTTATACATTTTGATTTCTAAAGGTATACTCTCCTGTGTTTTTTATTAGACAAAGGAGTAGAAGAAAACTAGCATCTTTAGTAGATTAATGATGTTGCCAGGGTAGTAAAATGTGTAACATGCAAAAAAAAAAATTGTTCTTAGAGTAATCTATAGAATATAAAGTAATATATAGAATATTTTAGAATATAGAGTAATATATAGAATCATAGAATCATTAAGGTTGGGAAAGACCTCTAGGATCACAGAGTCCAACAAACAGTGCCATGTTCATCACAAAACTGTGTTCCCAAGCACCACATTTACACATTTTGTGAAGACTTCCAGGGATAGTGATTCTACCAGTTCCCTGGGCAGCTTCTTTCAATGCTGGGTCACTCTTAGTGGAAAAAAATTTCCTAGCATCCAATCTAACCTCCCCTGGCGCAACTTGAAGCTCTTCTCCTGTCACTTGTTACCTGGGAGAAGAGACCAACCTATACCTGGCTGCAACCTTTCAGGTAGCTGTAAGTCTTCCTGAGCCTGTGTTTCTCCAGGCTAAACATCCCCAGCTCCTTCAGCTGCCTCTCACTTGTGCTCCAGATCCTTCACCAGCTCTACTGCCCTTCTCTTGATGCACTCCAGCCCCTCARTGTCTCTCTTGTAGTGAGGGGTCCAGAACTGGGCTCAGAACTTGAAGTGTGGCCTCACAGTTCTGAGTACAGAGGGAYAGTCACTGCCCTGGTCCTGCTCACCACACTATTGCTGATATAAGCCACAATGCCATTATCCTTCTTGGTCACCTTGGCCCATTCTGGGTGCCAACCAGCACCCCTTTCCTGAAATTTTACCATACTTAATAAAAATTGACCAGTGCTAGATAGCACTATTTATCAGATTACTAACATTCTAAGATACTCATTATAATATTTCCACAAAAAATGTTATGCATAATGCATATGAATGTGTTAAAAATAGTATTTTAAATCTGAAACTTGAAGGAATATGTAGAAAGGGTTCTTTGATACACAAAACTCATGTGCTGACATCCTCAGTCTTTAATGTAATTTTCTTAGTAAAATGTGTGAGGTGTGCAGTAGTAGCAATACTTCTCATCTATGGAAAGGGAATTTCATTCTAAAAGATAAGTTTGAATCAAGAGCCAAATCCAAAAGGAGCAGAGCTGCCTTGATACCCAGAGCTGTAGAATCTTGTGACTAGATGTTTGCTTTGAGGATGGGATTAGCAGGCCAGCAGTATATACCCAGGTTTCCTCTCTCTGGTGGAAGGAATGTAGGCCAAGAATTTTGGAGGGCATTTCAATACTACTGCTGGGAGGAAGAAAAGCAAATCCTTTCCTTACTGAGTTCTTTTCTTGCTTGTGTATTCTCCCAGGGTGTCATGGGCTATGGCAAGTGGAACTGCAAAACAGTTTGTAGACCAGTTTGTGGAAGGAGGGGCATTTAAATTTTGCATATCCAGTCACTGGGTAACCGGCACAAATAGTTTTTGAAGCTTTATCTTTCCTTTCTTTTTTGCAAATACCAGGACTATTAGATTGTCTCTTACATGTTCTCTTTATGGACCACTGAAACTGTCTTTCCTTCTCCTGTTCCTTCATTATGGAAAATGGTTTGTTAGTTACTAACTGGAGGACAGGTATGGGATTGAATGTCTTTAGATGAGAGGGAGAACTAAACTTGACTCTCTTATGTCCTGAATAAGTGCTTTATTGTGGGTGCTAGAAAACAGACACCACTGCAATTATTTTTCCTTACTGAAAGGCTGTGATGACTGGGTTCTGTGTGGAATGTACACATGTGCAGTTTTGAGGCTAGCAGTAATTCCAATGAGATTGTGATCCAGCAAGTGCTGGCTTGGGAAGTTGCTTCTTTTGTTGCTTCTTCTGTGCTATCTCCGAAACACTTTGTAACATTGTAATGTAAATAAAATCCTTATAGCATGTAATTTTAAAAAAAAATATTATTAATGGAGTTATTTTGAGGAATCTGGGTTAAAATATAGTTCAAACAAAAAAAAACAAAACAAAACAAAAAAAAACCAACAAAACAAAACATAGCATGTATTGTCACAATTGAGAATGTTCTAAATTGTGATAGGGAGATACAGAACTGTTTATTAAGTATTTGTGGGTTGATCAGTGACCTTTCCATTCCTATTTTTGCTTTGCGGGGCAGCTGGTTAAAGAGTTGCTTTCACTGAGACTTCTTGCTCATTTGCTTGATAATGCAACCCAGCTGGCCATATAATGTTGTGCCTGGTTACATGGTTACATCTTTGCATGCGCTCCTGATTCAGTTTCCAAAATGGCCACAAAGAATACTTGTTCCAGCTTGTTAGACGTCTGGTGGTAGAGCAGAACAAGTGATTCATGGGCTATGGGGAGCCGGGAAGAAGCTGACATATAAATGAATGGCTAACCACATCTTCAGTGAGAACATTTAGCATAAAGCACCCTAGGGGAAGTCAGTTGGCAGGTATCTCACAGAGCAATGATTGGATTTAGCTCTGAATTAAGAGCCAAAGTGCCTAGCCTTTTTGGCTGCCCGACTATATGAAAAAAWCTGCCAAACCAAAACMTACRACAAAACCAAAGACCAGACCAAAAAGTTCCTCTTTWCAGAAAATCCTCTGTTGGAAATTTARACTTYARTTTTGAAGACCTSTGCTTTGAAATGAGTATTCTACAYTAAGGAGTGACATAAGCTTTATGGWGAATTTAGCYRCAAGCATGCTGCCTYATTTCAGGACAACTATGTGGAAGCAGGGGTCTGGATGCAGATCTTGTGAAACCATGTCCTTCCAAATGTTATGTTAGATCCAGAGTATTTTATAAATTGCCTGCATTGTTGAAAACTAAGTAGTAGTCAATCAAAGAACTGTGAGCAGGAAAATGTTTTCTGAAGTGTACATAATTAGGATTAATCTCCTTGTCATCTAGGCCCATGCATTCCTTTTACATTTTCTCTGTTCCTATTTTGCCCCAAGCTTCTGTGTTAGTGTATATGGACAGGAATAATTTTTCTCCCCATCCACCTGCTTTTCACTTCTGTTGACTCTGCTGTGCTAGATCTCAGACACAAAGCTTTGTGCAATAAGAGTGGCGGTATCAGTGTGTTTCTTTGTGGTTTTTTTTCCCCTGCTTGTCCACATGCTTTTAACAGCTTCATATCTGCTGAATTTTGTTCTAGCCGCCTTAGGCTCAGTGTGAAACATAAATGGCAGGGAGGGGTTTGGTTCCTTATTGCCATCCTCCCATTATTTTTCAGTTTGCAGGGTCTTGGTAGATGTTCTTCCTCAACCATCTGACAGTACTGCAGACACAGCTGATGGGCTAATCTCTGTGTGCCTCTTAGCTGATGAGTACAACATGGTCATACTTTTTTCACAAGGGTCTAGATCAGTTTTGGAGGGAGAAAGAAAGTATGAATATGAAGAAAAATAAAATAGCAAGGTAATATATATTAAAACAAATCATGCATATCAATTTTAAAATAATGTGGTTTTTATTTTATCCTTTGTAGATAAAATGTCACCTTAATATTGTGTGACTTAAGATCTCTGTTATTGTCTTCAGCAGAACCTCCAACAGCAGTCACACCTTATCATCTTGTCAAACAATGGAGCCCTGTACCTCAGATGAATTTTTTCAGGCTCTGAACCACGCTGAACAAACTTTTAAAAAGATGGAGAATTATCTTAGACACAATCAGCTATGTGATGTGGTGTTAGTTGCTGGTGATCGTAGAATTCCTGCTCACAGGTAAGTGTATCATAACTTGAAATAACTTCATAATTGTTTACAAATGCACCTACAAAATGTGTCCCATGTTATGTTAAAAAAAAAAAAAAGTCAAAAAATCCTAAACTATTTAGAATACTTTAAACAGGTATATGTTTTTTTAAAAATTTATTTGGAAACTAAAAGTTAGTTTGTCTGTTGCATGGACTACCAATAAAAAAAAAAGTCACGTTCTTTTTGTTTCCGAGTATACTTACGATATTTGCATAACAAAAGTAAACTCCAAAAAATCCCAAATACACTCCAAGAATATTAGACTTGTTGTGGTTTCTGTACCATAGAATGATGCAAATTTTTTTTCTTAGATTTAACTTTTTCTTTGTACCATCAATTATGTTGTTGGAGTCACAATTAGCAATAAGGACAGTCTTCTGTTCACATAAAGCTTTTTTTGGTCCCATACTAAGGAGAGTCCTTTGATAGGAGACTGCTGAACACTGGCCGTATTAGATGTCTAAATTAGATCAAACATTACCCTCTCCATCATTTGTGTAATTAACAGATCATTTGCATGCCACTTAAAAGTTAAAAGTTAAAAGTTAGGAAAATACCAAAGACTGCAAAATACAGCCATGTGTAACTGAAGCACATTACGGTATTTAAGGCACAGTATTTGTAGTTGAAATAGGAACGAAGGTATAATTAAGCTATGGTTTCCTTAGTTGAGGTCTACAACAGACATAACATCCTAAAACATTCCTGTTTTCCATTGCTCATTCCTACTCCCAAAGCAAGACTACAACTCAATACTGTAATAGCAATAAAAGGATGGGAAGATTTGCTGGTTGGGGGTTGGTACTTTTCTTAAAAAAACATATTTCTGCTTTTATTTGGATATTATCCACGCTGTTGTGCTGACTCAACTGA